AGGTGTCATTATAAAAGTGTAGTTCAGTAGTTTCTACTTAACTAGAACATATTTAATTTGCCATGATATAAAAGAAACAGAGAAGCTGCAAATGTTTGTCACTTTAGCCTGATAAATGGCTCTGGTGATTAAAACATTATCATAATCCTTGCTGATTAATTTCCCGATGATAAATTAAAAGACTAATTGTTTTTGCACTAGTATAAATAGACAGAGACATTAATTCAACACACACACACACACACACACACACACACACACACACACACACACACACACAGCTCTGAGATCAACGGAGGCAGGCTTTTACATTATCGTCACCTTTTCCTGTGCTGTTCACACTGCTCTGGAGCCACAAATGACTCCTTCAAGTGAAGAAGAGCGATCAGCATTTGATTGAATGTGGTAATAACATGCAAAGTAGGGCCTAATCCTGTTAGGGTGGCGTTCCAGATGACTCAGAATTACCCTTCAATTTACCTTTCAGAAGTTTCAAAACCTTGGAGAGAGAAAGGTGAATATCTTATGCTAATTTGATGACCGAGAAGCAGTTTCACTTTTCCAATTATGGAGATGGGGTAGTTATTTACAGTGAGGAAGGCCCATGATATTAGTGCTGTGGTGCTATGGTGATTCATCTCCTCAGAAATAAACTAGTTATGTACTGTATGAGGCATTTGTTATGAATGTTGGACATGTCACTGCAATATATTAGATGGTAACACCTGTACCATAGCGTTTTTCAAGGGCCTTGTCTACACAAATGTATTTAGCAGGTGAGCTCATTACTTTTAGTTTTCTTTCTAGGGAAAATGGTGAAGTGAAAATGGTGTGGGGTATGAGAAATATTGCACAAATTGATAAATTGCTGAACTACAGGGATACGTTTTTCCTTTTTTTTGGACCGCAGTAAGAAAGAATCCATACTGCCTATTCTGGACAGATCTTAGTGGTCTTTTTACTTAACAAAGCTAAACATTATCCCAGCTGTAGCTTCATATTTAACATTCAGATTTTAAAAGGAGGGTGATTGATCTTCTCATCCAAATCTTGGCAAGAATGTGTGATTAATATTCATTTCAGGTAGCAGGTTGGGTACAACTTTAAATGTCAAAGGAATTCATATCTTTTATCCCAGCATCATTTGACCAGTAGTGCTTTTATTGTGTTGTTATCATCTCATGGATGCTCAGTCAAGTTCTAAGCATCCTTTGCTGTCAATTACCCTGACCTATTAAAAACATTTAACATCTGACAACTGTAATTAAATACTTTTTTTTTTTTTTTTTTAAATAATTCTGAAAATTCAGCTCAGATGTTCAAATATTTGTATGTAGGTTTTGACCAGTGCATTTTTACTTGTTTTTCAGCCTCACTTTTAGACTCTTAGTTTTTCAAATCAGGCCTAATGAGTCCTTGATTTTATGAACACTGCACTTCCACTAAAAAGGACAACATATTTGTGTACTACAACAAAGTCCTTAATCACGATCATCCCAAAGGAGTATCGGCCTTCAAATTCTAAAATATGGCACTAATCTATGGCTGAACGCAAACAACTACACATAAAACAAAATAGACAGCTTCCAGACCTTACATTTAATACAAATACTTAATGACAGCTAGTCTCCCTCTGAATGACCAGAAGTCATTGGCTACCGCCCCCTCCATTAGAGAGCACACGTAGCCTTGAGTGGTGGGAAAGAACAGCATAGGTTGTTTCTTGAACCTCAAATGTTGTCTTAAATCACATAATCTGTCACAAGCTATTCATACAGAGCATAATCCTGTGCACCTCCGCTCACTGTAAATAGCAACATGACTGAACAACGTAAATGGATAGAAGGATTGCAAAGAAACCATAATGTGACAACTGGATTAACATGTGTGTGGGTTTCTGGGAGAGAAAATCATAAATTGTGCCAAAAACGGGGGGAAAAGAAAAACACTAAATCGCTAGAGGCAGGAGGAGGTATAATTCACTGCAGAAGGATTTCCAGGCCATCATAAATGATAAATGACGCTGGCGATGTGCCAGCTCTCAAAAACAATGTCAGACTTTGGACAAATTGAAATGAAGTTGAGTATAGCTTCAAACAGAATGAGCGTGAAAATGACTCTGGTTATGCAATGGTTTGTGAAATGGAATCCGAATAACACATTATTGAAAAGTAACCGCAGAAAATACTTTTAACCTTCCCAAACTCTGATTTCAGAGTGCTTTTCTCCAGGTATTAAAAGCTTTGCATGGACCGTGTTCCTATCCAGAAGTGTTTCCACTGCCTGCCTACATATCAGAGTGCAGAAGAGATATATTGTATAGAGATCTGCAAAGACATGACTAGCAGGATGTGGGCCTGTGTGACAGATCTATAATAGATGATAGATTTTACAGTAGGCTGGTGCTGTAGCATGCTCTTAGGCCTTACCTGGGCTGGGATTACATAACTGCCTCACTGAAATGTTGTGGAGGACACATCTCTCCTCTCCAACTCTCAACAATCTCTTTCCCTCTCCACCACAGATTCACTGCATCTGTGTGATTACAAACACACACATGGACCTTTTCTCTCACACGATCGCTCACACAAACACAACATATCACCACTCTTTCGCAGTTACAAACACACACCCACACACAGAACCACAAACCATCTGTTTGGAGGCTTGTTGAAGTGCATTAGCCGTACCTAGCTGCAGGAAGAGCTGCACTCTTTCTGTCCTCTATACACTCAAGCAAATGGAAGTATATAAACCCTGATCCTGACACACTGGGCCTCACTGTAAAACCTCACTGAGAGCTACTTCTCAGCTGTCATGAGTGGAGCAATACGGCACACTATTGACAGGAAAATGTGCTTCGTTTGTGTGACATTTAAATGATGCCCACGACTACAAATACAACTGTAAAATGGGTCACTTCATCTAAATTAACACGAATACAATGTTTCCTCACTAAGCTGTACTGGTAATGTTTTATTGTTGCGGTTTTGTTTTTATAATTATTGATTATGCGCAAAAGTTTGTGTTTCCAGAAACAGTATCCCTGCTTGGATAATCTGCATACCATGCAGTTCAGAACCTGTTCAGCGGATAATACAGAGTAGCGCAGACTTTGGTTATGATGTTATCAGGTAACCAGCCGAGGCACCACAACCATAACCGTGTTACATTTCTGTCAAGGTATAGATTTAAAAGAAGAAAAAAAAACAGGATACAATATGTTATTAGTCAGTTAGAGACTAGTTGGATAGCTTTTACCCCCCACTTAAAGTGTATCTGCTAGTGCGAAGCTAAGCTAATCATACCCTAGTTTTAGCTTCACAATACGAGTAGATATGGGTATGGTATCAATTTATTAGCACTAGCTCTCAGCAAGAAAGCACATTGCCCAAAATATCAAACCAAACCAAAAATATCTGCATGGATGGATAGATAAAACTATTCTTATGTATGTCGGGTAAAATTACCATTTTCTTATATATTTATTGACATCATGGATCAGTGTTTCTCAACCTTGTCTGACTGGTGACCCTGTTATTAGGACCAAAACATTGTTTGTCTTGTGACGGTCTCATATTTCAGAGCTATTTTGACATAAAACTATACCAAATATACCTCTCTAACTCAATCCAGGAACTATGCACTCATGGCTTTCTATTTACGCTCAGAGAAGATGATCACTCAGGGAACAACTGTAACCCCCCTCTCGATCTTTCTCTCTGCCCTCCAATTATAGTCATTAATGGTTCATACCAAGGAGATAAGCCAGGGTGGCCAATATTATCCCGCCTGAGTGAGTTGTGAAGTGACTAGGAAATGAAATGCATGAGTTGAATAGGAAGCTGTTTAAAACAAATGACGGGCTGATGAGATTGGAGTCACGGCCTTATGAGAGGAGAGTAAATGGAAAGAGTCAGGCTGTCAAGAGAGTGAGAAGAGAGAGGAGGTCGGGCTTGTAGGAATAAGTGAGAAAGAAGAGGAAATGTATTAAAGAGGTGTGATAGGTCGAGGAAGTGAGCAACACAACGACTGAAACACCTCAAATATGACAGGTGTTGTTTTTCAGAGGCTCTTTCATAGCAGAAAAGTGTGTGTATTCAAACACATATATGGGTTGCATTCAATTGAATGATATCATAGTCCTGATAGTATGAATGCTTTTGTTTTTACTTGACTATTTGCCCTACCCTTAAAGAGCACCCCATTTTTTACTTCAACATCCCCTTGTTTTTCTTCTCAAAAGTAGCATTCCCTATTTTTCTTTATATAAATCTGAATTTTCATTATTGTTTCACTTCTTTAAATTTAAAGACCCAGAATGGTTTCTCATGTCTAAGCTTCCTATCGCAAATAAACATAACAACTTGAATAAAAGTAGTGGTGCTTTGTTTGTGTTTTCTTGGTGTTCACTCTGCATATGCATCTTAAAAAGGGTAGAGTGGGTGTGAGTAGGTTGTGCACCATTACAAAAGGTTAAGCGCCAAAAAGGTAGAGAGCCACTGAGCAGATAAAAAGCAGGACAAATAGACCATAAAACCAAGTAAGACTTCTACGAGTGTTTTCTCTTCTTCAGTGTTGATCCAACATATAAAGCAATGAATAGCATCAACTTGGGATTTAGAAATTCTGATAATGTATTTTAATATATGTAATGACTGGTAGTTGCACCCCTATACAAATTAGAGAGAAATAAAATATGAAACTATTCAAAAATACAGTTTGACCCAGTTCTAATGAGTTCTAATGATAAGTGAGTCGAAGAGAGTTTTATGAGGGAGAGGAATGGGTGCAGGAGCATAATTATGAAGATGTGAGACGATTGTTAATACATGAGTAATGCCTTTTATTGCATTAATATTTGAGAAATGTGGAGAATGAGTGTAAGGTGCTTTAACTGGTGACACCCGCCAGAAAAAAAACATTCAGGAGGAATGTTTCCTCTGTCAGTAAAGCCATTACTCTGCACATTCCCCTGCATTAATGTGTGCATAACTTACCAAAGAGCTGGCGGTGGAATATAAACTTCCCAGCTAACATGCCGGTGATAATGGCCAGTATCCAGCATATTACTTTCAGGGCGTTCCATTCGAGGCCCGGGTACTTGTTGAACAGGAAGGAGAAGCAGTTGCCCACCACAATCATATGGGCCTCTGTCTGACTGTGAGAGATGGGGTCTTCCGCAAAGATGAGGAAGTTAAAGAAGGTGACCAGGTAGGCCACGATGAGACGCGACCACGGGTGCTGGAAATAGTAGCGGAAACGGGCATCTATTTCCATCCTGCTGAGCCCCCCAGCCACACTACACCTGGGAGTCAGAGAGGGAGAGAGGGTGAGAGAGAGAAAGTCACATTTCAGTCAGATTACATTATACTCAAATCAGCACGGCAGATTAGAGTGAAACATCCCTCCGATTGAGATTAGTGTTCGGAGTGTAACTGAGGTTTGGGAGAGATTGTGAGATTATGCTAAATTCAGACAACTCTGTGCAGCAGCAGTGCCAACAATGCACCTACACAGAGATGTCTTAGTGCAGAGACAGGCTTTCACGTCAACGCAAAGATTATCACACAAACATGTCAGAGAGGGCTTGATCCGTCTGGATGGGGATGCCATGACAGCAAAGAATCAGGTGCATGAAAACAGGTTGAACTTTTGAAAAGCTTAATGTGTTAGCTGAGCTCACAACTTAACAAAAAAGCTGAACAAAGATTAAGCCTTTTAAACTACATTCTTCAGTCAGAAAAACAGGTTGAAGTTTAGTGTCATACCTGGATAAGGTAGAATCTTGAAGTGCTTAGCTGTAAAGCGCTGGCTCTTGAAAAGGCTTATCCTCTCAGCCTGTCTACTCTGTGCTCCCCTCAGAAAAAGTGTGGCAGCATTACACTTATGCTCTGTTGGGGAACACCTGCCAAGCAGAGGCAGTGCTTGGAGTAACTTCCCAACAGTCCCCCCCCTCTGTATTCTTAAAGCCCACACACGACACCCATCGACTTCACTCTGAACTCCCTCGCTGTAGCCCTTTGTGACTGGTCTGACTTTGCTCGACTGAATTCCCCAAACCAGTTCCCTGCTTTGACACAGTTTCCCAAAATACCCCACAGTGGGAATATTAGATGATGTAACGTCTCCAGAAATAGAGCTGCCAAAGTGAAACCCCCATGTGGCTATTACATTTCACCAGCACCATGTATTATCTTGTCATTCGGATACTTGCCACCTTGGGTCTTGCTAAACCAGTGATTCCATACACACTTAATCTTCAGTGGAATGCTTAATTCGTTTCCTGCCTTTATCCCATTATACACATGAGGGGCAGTTGTGACATGGGACCTGTACCCAGTTTGAGGCCAGTGCAGAGTCCCAAACAGGCATGGAGAGGGACTCAGCTGGCACCCAAAGGACACCCATGAATACAGGAAGAAAACATGCAAATAATATCCAAAAAGGACTCATCAACCTGGGGGCTGACAATGATGGATATGCATTTGAGATTGCAGTAGAATCTGCAAGAACTTTGATATCCTAATCACCATTATTATCATCTTGCTCATGGTAGGGTACATCCTCTAAACTCCCTGGCTTTTCCTCTAAACCATGTAAATTACTGGCCCAATAGACCTAAGTGCTGCCTGCAGGAAATACACTGAGTGGTCCGTCAATTCGGGCCAAATCTGTCAATTCCTGAATGGACTACCGTGTAAAGAGCATAAGTCTGTGACCACACACATCCCCTCTAATTTCACAAGAGCGATGACGCCAAATGTCACATCGCCGACCTCACGTATCTCGCAGATAACACAGGCTTGACTGGAATTATCTGATTACACAACTTTAATATCGGTGCTCCAAGATACATCTGGGACGGCCGAAATTCGTGCAGACCTTACCTGCTTGCAACTCGGTAATATAATGTGTGCATGTGCGGTGGATCAGCGTCATGAACGCACCTGCTCCACGCCGTCGTTGCTTTCAGTCGACAGCCGGGACAAGACGCCCCGCTCCCGCACGGCTCTCCTGTCACATCAAGCCGACAGCGGCGCTCTAATCATCCCAAAAACGAAACGATGCGGGAGGGTTTTTGTGGAGGGATTATCCATGCGACCTGTTGTTGGTGTACGACAGAGGCATCCCCAAATCCTCTGCCATTGTGCTGGAGCGTCCATGCGCCGGGCGGGCTAGCTGAGCCGGGCGGTGCTTCGTCAGCAGGTTCCCGCCGGGCGGTGCTGTTTCTGGGCTGTGAACGGGACGCTGCTGCTGTACAGAGGATGGAGATGGCTGGATCCACACAGCACGCATAGCATCTGTGCAACGCAATGTAGCGAACACATTATTCACCAGCGTCAAGCGAGATACAGTTCAAATATAATACTTCCGCTTTCACATTTCAAAATAAAACGTGATAAAAAAACGTTTTTCAATTAACCTACATAGATATATACAGTATTGGCATGTGCTTACTTATTTTAATGCATTTTATTTTATTTGGGTTTCACATATTCTTGTTATAATTTAGTATTTTAGTACTAAGATAAAATGCAATTAATTATTGTTATTATTATTATGATACATACTGCTGTTTGTTTTTTTCCTGTAGGCATAGATAAACACAAAGCCTGTATATTGTTGTTTAAAGGTTGACATTCCATTAACAAACGAGTGTTGGTTATTTGTTTTGCCATTTTATTGAAATAAAGTTAATAAACATTAGAACATTTAAATATTGCTCTTTTTTATTAAAGCTTTTTATTTCTACAGTTAACATAATGTCTTGTGAATATCAGCAATGCATAAAGCAAAGACTGTATGTAAAGACCATAGGTAAAGACACATAAATGTCTCAATACAATTTAGCTTAATAGCATTCACTTTGAGGTAGTTCAACATTATAATCATTCATTTGAACTCTGAACTGTGCTACGCATGCGTATGCCAGTTTAAACTACAGTCTTGTTAGGATAATAAATAAAACCCTTATTTTGAAGACCGGTTCACATTATTTCCGGTGTGACTCCAGCTGTGAGCACATCCATAGCTGTGACACATCTCCTGAGATTCCCTCTGGTGACAGGATGAGGACAATTGTTCTGCTGTAAAATCTATCCATATATATTTTTTTTATTTACCGAGGAGTGGGAGGGACATATGGCAGAGGCAGGAAGCCCGGTGGCGTCCAGATGTTGCAGGGTTTCACGCCAATAGGATTTGCTGCCATGAAATCAGGACATATCTACGTGAATAAAGATCAGAATTTAAGAGTGAACAAATAACTGACTTGCTTTAATCGTGTTCCAACCCTGAGCCTATTGGTAAATATATAAAGAATCAATCTAATATTTTTGAACTCCACTGTATAGAATAAAAGAATACGTGTAATCATAAATATTGTCAATTTGATCATGTGACATTAAAAGCAGATGTGGGTTATCATGGGCGTCACAAAAAGTGGTGGGGACAATTTCTCCAGATTTAACATCAGCATAGCAAAAGACAAAAGATGTACCTTTGTGCACACAACGAGCATACAGGTATGGAGGACAGAACATGACATGAGTACAACATAAATACATGTATAAATACAGGAATACATACAGGATTACAAAAAATACACGAATAAATACATTTCAAGAAAAACTGAAATAAATAAATGTGGAAATAAATGAACATTAATACTTTGTTTATTTCTCTTACTCTTAAACATAATAATATAATTGTTTAATTATAACATATTACAATTGTTTGACCAGGTCCTGTGATTTAGATTTTGATGAGGTCACACGGGGGGCGGCTCTTCTTGATGTAGTTCTCTTCCTGCTTCTCTGTCCTGGTTTCGCCTGAACAGCTGCATCAGCTCTTGATCCGACGAAAGACACAATGTCACATCAGACGGGCATTCAAGGTAGATGCGTTTCCCTGCTTTCAATGTCTCTTTCATTATGTCTTGTTTTGTGCGTGTGTGCCTTTCCTGGGTGAGCGTTAAGTACCTCCAACAATTCATTGTACCCAGAAGCTAGCGTCAAGTTAGCTAGCCACTCCTAGCTAGCTGTGAGCTATCGTGCTGTGTCTGATGATCAGTGGTGCCCTGTTTGTGCACTTTAAGGCTTTAATCCCTGAGCATTTAGCCAGTTCATGACCCACCTAAATCACGTCTAGTGCTACTCCATTTTATTCTCTACAATGTTGCAAAATGCTTTAGCTTCTCAGTATAAAGCTGTAATCCTGCAACGTTAGTTTATCTTTCTAGATAGATGGGCGACGCCTTCATTTAAACAAACTGCTGGCCTGGTAGACCAACGGTGTTCCAATACATTCACGAATAGCCATTACCTGCTCTGTGTTATAATAAAAAATCGTCTTGACAAAGGGCGTGACATCCTGTTTAACATGGCAGCAACACCGCGGAAATGGTTGTCTGTTTTGAGGTAAAGCAACCTGCAAATTATGTGAGTTAATAAGAGACAGGCACATGTTGTGACATTGGTTTTTCGTATATAGTTGACACTTAAATGAAATATGATCAGTTGTTTTGTTGGTATGTCTGTTTAACTCACCTGTCAAAGTCTGTCAAGTCTTAATATATAAGACTAAAGTTTTGAGTTATTATCTACATGTGTGCAGCAGAGGCTTATGCAGGGTGTAGTAGTCTAGGTCAAACTGCTGTCCACGCCTAACATGTACATAAAACTAAACTAAATTCCTGTGTTTGAATAATAACACTGCCGTAGAAAAGCTGTGTAATAAATTATGGTATTTGACAATGGACCACATCGTCTATGTTATAGGGAATTGTTCCTTGCTTCCTGATATCAGAGAGATATTTGTATTGTGCCTGTATTTGGGTTCAAAGGTGGTTTGTGTTCTCATATCTGTAATACTGAAACCATGCAACCTTCTATGCATTGTAACAAATAATACACATTAAGTGTTTTACTGTGGGTTTAGTAATTGTTTCATTATTGCTTGATGAGGATATGACCAAATAATTTATAAAAATGTTCTGCTTGACTAAAAGTATGTTAAAAGGAAATAGGTTATTTAGAAGATTATGTTAATAAAGATACATATAATCAATAAAGCTTTATTTAGTGTCTAACATGTGGTAACCTGGTCCACAGGTTAGTAAGACTCACAACATGTTTAGGTGGAAACATTTTAATCAGCTGCTGAAAAAGGAGAGTGTGCAGTTCATGCAGGCATCAGTTTAAAACCATAGAAAGTAACACCCTTCTGTCTTTTCACAGCGGGTAATGATGTGAAAGACATCTTTGCCAAAGCCAGGAATGGAGACCAATATCGAGTCATAAAGGTCGTCATTGAGGCCGGTAAGCAGTGTCCCATGGTGTTTGTTTACAGCTCCTTCTGCCAAGTAAACACTTAACTCGTACTTCTTCTCAGACTTCTACTAGAGCTGACATTTCAACATTACTAACAAATCTGTGCACTGCTGACTGTGTTGTTTTACACATCTGCTTTCCAGAGCAGCTGACTATGGGCACCACCGGGAAAGCATCAAAGAAGTGGGACCAGGAGTATGATTCCTTAGTTGTGCCCCTCCTGGAGGACGACGTGCCCTGCTATGTTCTGTACCGGCTGGACTCCACCAACAACCAGGGCTACGAGTGGATCTTCCTGGCCTGGTCACCAGACAACTCAACTGTAAGAAAACCAAGATGAATAGCTTTTCAAGATTCAAAGGCTTTTATTGTCATGTGTACATAGCTACAGTGTAGATATGTCACACATCTTAGGTCACAGGCTGCTCCAACAGTGCAACATAATACAACTGATTAAATAGTGCAAGTAAATACAAGTAGAATAGAAATAGTGCAACTTCACAGCATTTTGTCCTCCTCTGCTTTGAGCATCAGTTGGGTGGGGTTACCACATCAATACTGCATAAATGTAGGCAACAGACCTCTTAAAAATCTAAACACAGGCAGATTATGGTGCTCTCCAAATAACACAGCTCTTAGTTCAAACCTCTCATCTCTCGACTGAAAATCCGCGCTCTCAGTGTTTCACGATTGTTGTTTTCTTGTCATGCAAATGTGTGTTTTGCATTTGCTGTGCTCTTGTCCCATACAATGTAAGTCATTGTCATTTGGTTCCATCAAAATGATTGGTGTTGTCACTGCGATCCAAAATAACCATGACAAATAGACATACGCATGTTGTTTCTGTCGCAGTGGAAAGAGGAATGTTACAAGGAGAGGACGATGCCAGAAAAAGCCATGTAGGGTATATGTGGCGCTCTTAACTACATACTGCAATTTAACTTAAATTCACTTTCTGAGAGCCATATGCAAGCTTAACATTCCTGCCCTCTCTCCAAAGCACCTCGCTGCAGGCTGAGGCTTGCCTGGAAGTTGCACGATCCTTTCACAACCAGCTGTTAAACTGAGTCAACTCCAACTCCAATGTATTTATTTATCCTATAATCAAGATTGTGTTAAAGAGGGCATTTAAAGGTACCCTAAGGAGTTTTCGACCACTAGTAGTGCTATGGCTCAATGTTTTATTTATAAGTAGGTTCCCTTTTTGCTTCTTAGTTTTAATTAACAGGTTGTGTTAATGCTATGAGACAAATCAGCAAAGGCAGGGAAGAAGATTGCAAGCATTTTATCAGGGATATAAACAATGCTGAGAGAAAACTGAAGTGTTTGCAAGAATATAATCAATCACTTAACACAGTTCTAATTATGTTCAGAACATAAATGTATTTTCCAGCACAAAGCAAGAAGGAAAGATCAATAGGGAAATATGTTATCCTCTGAATCTGCCAGATTTCAGCTCAATGTGACCAGAATGTTTGATTTTTACTAAATTCTTTCACTTTTCTACATATTCTCAACAGGTGCGACATAAAATGTTATATGCTGCTACCAGAGCCACACTGAAGAAAGAGTTTGGGGGCGGGCACATCAAGGATGAGATTTTCGGTAACACAAAGGTAGGTCTTACAAGAGGAACCCATACTACTACCATTGTTATTCTCTGTTCTTACATCATCCACTAAGCTACAACTGCATTTGTTCGTGCAACTCTGTTTTGCAAAATGACAACGAATGATCCTTGAATCCTTAACATTTGCGAAAAGCTCTTTTTATCTGCCCTTAAGCCTCAGTAACAAACCCTCAAAAGTTAAGCTTCAGCCTAATACATTTATGGAAACCAAAAGGACAAACGATGTGCCAGTGAGTCAAACTGTATTGCTGCGTGATGTGTGATTGTGCTGTTATTTGCCCACCCAGGACGAAATGAATCTGAGTGGATACAGGAAATATCTGGCTGTCCAGGCTGCCCCCCTTCCCCTCACTGCTGCAGAGGAGGAACTGAGAAAGATCAAACTGAATGAGGTGTGAACACACACACACACACACACACACACACACACACACACACACACACACACACACACACACACACAGACAACACACTTGGATTGAATTTCTTGGCTACTGTTCCCAGGCTTGTTGTCACACATAACCCATGGCATGTTGACACGTTGAATTGCCTGAGTCCGTTCTGAAGTGGCTGTTGTGCTTAGCAGGGCTTGTTCTCAGTTCTTAAAATAAATGACACTACGTCATCCTTTTTATCTGAGATTTCAGAGGGGGAAAAAATAGCAGCTCACAGCAGTATTCTTCCTTAACACATCTGCTGTGTGTGAGGTCTATATCCCAGCAGAAACAGTCAGAGTATCAATGAAGGCCAGCGATGCGTCCTTCCAAACAGCACAAGGTCAGCAGCAGTGTGCATATGCTTGCCCCGGCAGTATCAACAGAGAAAAGATGCTGATGCATTAGAACAGCAGGATGTTGGCGGAGACGAATATATTAGGGCTTGGACAGCACATAGCTCTACGACTACATACCAGTGGAATAACAGTCCACTCGTCACTTTTATTACTGCCATTCGGTCCCTTTAAACGTTTAATAAGCATTATTCTGGTGTATCTTTTCTTTTATGTCAGTTCAAAAGACAAATTTCAATGTTATGCAAAACTAATGGACCATAAAGTACTCTGAATATGAAATATATTCTTGTTTGCATGTCTGAGCTCTTTATCAGTGTTCAAATATACATTTGAGAGAGCTTCATGCAAATGTAATTTCTCTGTAGTTATGAGCACTCAGCAGTGATTCTGCGTGAAGCACAGGTGAGCTGTATCACTGCGCATTTCCTTTGTTGTTGGCAGAGAAAATAGTAATAATAATGTAACGGGATATCCTGCTAATGCTGCAGGAGTGTTTCCACTGCAGACTGACTCCACCAGACGGATGAATGTCATCTGAAGTTTTACTCTTCGGACTTTGTGGTGCTGTTCCCATAAATGAACCCAAATGAACTGTTCTGCTTTTTTGAGAAACTACCTTTTCTAATTGCTGCTCTCCAGACCTCACCACACAAACAAGAACTGTCTTTCTTACCATATATGGAAGTGGTTTGAGAAGTGCACTCTCTCTCCAAAGTATGCTCAATTAAAGACAGCAGAGCAAATGGGAAGTGAGGTTTGTGCTCGTCCCACTCGACCAGCTGTTGAAGAAAGATAATATACCATTAATCTGGACCGCCTAGATGAAAAAGGGGCTTTGAAATGTTTATCATTGCTGTGCTTTGGAGACTGCCTGACTTTTACTAAGCAGATGGATAAAAGACCCGCAATCCTTTTTGGTATGCGAGGTAGCTACATCGGAGGCTCAATCATGTTTGCACGGCATTTCATTTTGTGGGAACAGAGCTCTAAAAATAGATTCAATCCATCAGAGTAATCCCCCCCAGCATTTCCAGTTTTCTGTCTGATTTGGTGGAGGCGCCTTGTCACCGCCGATACAAGCACCTCACGTAATCATCATGCTCCAGCAAGCTGCTTGTTGCACTTCTTACTTTCTGATGACAAGAAACGAGAAAAACATTTATTATATTTTACTTATCCACAACTCTTTATCATGAAACTCCTGACAGGAAATGGATTTGCTTCCTCATATGATTGAATTTTAAGACCAGAGCGTTTTTCAAGAGAAGGATTTGTTCTGTTCTGATTGATAGGCAGCATGATGACATAATGTCACCACCAGCATGTCAACCTGTGTGTGTGTGTGTGTGTGTGTGTGTGTGTGTGTGTGTGTGTGTGTGTGTGTGTGTGCACATGAACACGTTAGAATCCACATACTCACTGTTTACCACAGAGTCCAATTCTAGTTTCAATAATGAACTTGGTTGTTTGAGCACATATCTGTATAAATATGCCTCTTAATAAAGAAGAGACCTTTTTGAATGTACTTAATAAAGTAATAATAAATGCCACCTATGTGTTATCTATTTCATATTTGCTCATTAATGTGTCTATGGCAGGTTGATAGGAAGCTGAAGTGCCTCTTCCTGTTTTTTGTGATGTGTTCAGGTGCAGACGGACATCAGCGTGGACACCAAGCAGCAGACTCTGCAGGGAGTGGCCTTCCCTATCCACCAAGACGCTATTGCAGCACTTGAACGTTTTAGGGACAAAAGAGTCAATTACGTACAACTGGTGAGTCCTTAAGAGCAAATCATTAGTCACTTTGACCTTTGCTCCATCAATAATTGGATAAACAAATCAAGTCTCTTTCCTTTCATTACATTTTGCTGGGAGAGATTGGAGTCTTTTTGGTCAGGAGTTGTTTACAGACCGACACAATGAGTTACTCATTTTGCCCAAAAAGCCTTTGTCCTTCTCATTGAAATTCAAAGGCTTTATGTCACAACTCAGATCAGATCATCGCCAAGTACAAAGGAATAATTGTGTCTCCGTTCCCTTTTTTGTCTGTTATCCTAAAAGCTTCTCAAGACAGCCGAGTGTTTGATGTATTTATCTAACAAAGGCATTTGTATAGTAAATGTTCCACCTCAGAGCGAGGGAAATGCTTGATTTCATTCACTCGCCCCCCACACAGATGTTCCTAATTTTGTCTAGAATTCCAAGCAGGAACTACATGGTCACAAGCGCATGCCACCAACCTCGTGAGTAACTTTTCCATTCCTTTGTCTACAGGAAGTAGACGCTGAGAAGGAGCTGATTCGGTTGTCCAACACTGAGCCAACAGAGTTGAAAGACCTGCCACTGAGAATCCCTAAAGAATCTGCACGTTACCACTTGTTCCTCTACAAACATTCCCACGAAGGCGACTACCTAGAGTCCACAGGTGATTAGATTCTCACAACTTATTATGAAAAGTCAACACACCCTCTATTATTTCTATATGACTACGTTTTTGATGTTTCAAATTATATTTTGTGTCAGCTTTTCTAATTGTCTTTTCTTCCCTTTGCAGTGTTCATTTACTCCATGCCCGGGTACAACTGTAGCATCCGAGAGAGGATGCTGTATTCCAGCTGCAAAAACCCCTTGGTGGACATGGTGGAGCACAACCTCCAGATCGAGATTGAGAAAAAGGTGAGACTATCCATCATGATCATATATTATGGCATACAAATCTTCGTACTTTTTTGTCACAAACTTTAAGCCCTTAAAACCTTCTTTAAATCCTGATTATTTCTCAAAATATTTCTAATTAATAGGCAACAATCAAAGTTAGAATTCGGAACTAACATAATTATGTTTCATTTATTAATGATTAGGTCAGTTTGTGTTTGGTTTGATCTAGAGCTGCAACAATTAGTTCACCCTCAGGAACATTTTCAGCAACTATTTGGATACTTTTCAATGAAAAATGCTGCAAGTTCACTGGTTCAAGCGTCCTAAATACTTTACACTGTCATTTACTGTAAATGGAACTATTTCAACTCATATTGAATTTTAATTGAAGTTTTTATTGACAAAGCAAAAATGATTAGTTGATGCCCTAGTTTGGTAAGATTTTTTTGACTGGGAAGCATGACCGTCACATTTCTCATTTATGTATTGCCTAATTCATTACTTTTGCGCAACATGACATCACCTTTTCCTTAAGGAATCCCCCTCACTTTGAACCAGTGAGAAAATCACAGACACGAGACAGAAATCCCTTAAAAATCCAAACCTTTCAAACTTTTTAAAGTGGATTGAGTAAATGTTTTTAGAGTCTTTAACGGGACAATTTGCCTCCTGATGTGGTTTCAGTGCTAAAAAGTGAATTCATGAGGTTATTTGTAGGGCTGTCAAACGATTAAAAATTGTAATCAGATTAATCACAGCTTAAAAATGAATGAATCATGATTAATCACCATTCGAACTATGTCCAAAATATGCCATTTCTTTATGTATATTGTTGTGGGAGTGGAAAGATAAATGAAAGAAGGCGGATATATCCATTTAACATACAGTATGTATGTTTATTATAACATTGTTCTGTGTGTCAAAATGAAAGACAACCCACACACCTATCAATCATCAAACCGTGGGGTCTTAATTCATTACGTGTTGATTTCTATCATTTCTACGTGTTGATTTCTATCAACACGTAATGTTGTATTGATGTATGTGTGTATAGAGATGTACTACAGCAAAAGTACTCTCCGTCGGGACTTCCTGCAACAACACCACGCCGTTATCTTGATTCTGATTGGCCAGAAGACATTATCAAAGATGTTCTATTGAGAAGA